ATAAGTTTTCTTTATGACATTACAAGTATTTTGTTGAAGCTAGAACACGGGGTGTCAAACTCAAGGTCCGCAGGCCAGATCTGGCCCCAGAGGTGGTATTCAGCAGGTTCTGACCAGTTCTGGAGAACCGGCAACGGAAATTTTGAGTAGTTCGGAGAACTGGCAAATACCACCTCTGACTGGCCACGCCCCCATCTACTCTCTGCCTCCCAAGTCCCAGCTGATTGGCTGGGTCTTCTTTTGTTGCCCTGCACAGAAGAACAGAGCTGAAAAGCAGGTTAGTGGGGTGGGGAGGGAATGGGATTTAGCAGTAACCTTCCCCTGGAGTGGGGTGGGAATGGAGATTTTACAGTATCCTTCCCCTGCCATGCCTACCAAGCCACCCCCACAGAACCAGTAGTAAAAAAAATTGAATCCCACCACTGTCTGGCCCATGGGGTGCTTAGATTTGGAAACAGTGAAGGACCAGTCTATGTTGCCTCTGAAGAAGAAAGGAGAATGTAGAAGGAAGGAGAAAAAAAGGAAGGAAGGAAGGAAGGAAGGAAGGAAGGAAGGAAGGAAGGAAGGAAGGAGGGAGGGAGAGACGGAGGAAGGAAGGAAGGGATGGATGGATGGAGGGGACAATGGATCCTTAACCCCGCCCGGGCCACAGGTGCCTCTGACACGAGTGACATTGAGCTGACTATGCCCACCCCAGCCACGCCGAGCCTGTCCCACAAGGTCAAACCCTGATGCTGCCCTCAATGAATTTGAGTTTGATATCCCTGAGCTAGAGAGATGCAGGAAGGGGATGAGAGGGAGGGAGTTGAGTGTTGAGTTCTATTTGTAAGGAGGAACACCCAAGAGCATTTTGGTGGAATAGTTTAAAGCTTAAAGTATTGTAGATGCTCACATCTGTCTACTGACCAGTCCTTCAGTAATGTATTTCTCCATCAAACAAGGCAATGTCAGAGGGATGAGATTTTTTTTCTCAGTCCTAGACTAGCCAAGGTCACATTCTTCCACAGAGTGATTTGCCTTCTGCTTCATGCCATTCCTTGGGATAGACAAATAATGAGTTAATGTTTACAAACAGTGTGCTTGCATAGAATGTAAGTGGTTTTCTCTCTCTCTCTTTCTCTCTCTCCCCAGCATTGGTTTTATGAAAACATGGATCAAAGCAACAAAAGCCTATTTGTGTTTTTCACTGCAGTTGTGTACAACTCAAGCAAATCTTCAGAATAACTGGATTTTGCTTTTAAAAATAAAATGTTTACCTCTTGAAGGAAAATCTGTTGATAAGAGATTTAGTAGTGGACAGAAAGAGAAATAAGATAGCTACACTGCAAAGCAGTGGGCATTGTGCTTTGCTTAGTCAAGCTACTACACCCCTAGCATTTCCAAGCTAGTCTAGAAAACTCCTTTGTAAAGCTATACAGCAGGGCTGTCAAACTCTCGGCCCACAGCCAGATGTGTCACGCACTGGCCATGCCCATGCCCGGTTTAGCGAAGGAGGAAAAGTCCCAATACATCATGTGATACCACCGTGATAAAGTGAGTTTGACAGTCCTGCTCTAAGGGTTTACTAGCACTCAGGATTCTTAGTAGTAAGCTAATGGACCATTTCTTGCAAGAAGATTATCCATTAATGGCTAGTATCCAGCCCTCTACTTTTATGTATTTATTTACTAAACGAATCTATATAGCTGCCCAACTCACACATAGGTGATTCCATAGCTTTCCATTCATACAACCTAAGAAACTTTTCTCATTCTTCTTAATGCAACTAATGCAACTTTTCTAAAGATCTCATTCTGTCCTTTCAGAGGTTTCTCCCCATTAGTTTGGCAATTTATGTTTTTTTTTTTCCTTAGTCAAAATAGCTGGGAGAATTCATCCCACAGTCTCCTATCGCAAGAGTTAAAGAATTATCTAAGTTCAATAAATTGTATTAAAAGTACTGGTTTTGACTTATGCAGCAACTGCCACAGCTGGTATGTGAACAGTAGTTAACCTTTCCATGGCATTCCTCCAGGAGGAAATATTTTGTAGTACAGCCACTGTTTGTTTCAGTAGGAATGCACCAAGTCCAAAAATGTACACTTTTATCCAGAGACTAGTTTAGAAATTCATGATTTCTACACAGAAAGAATTTAAGAAATTTATCTATTCCTTCAGCAAGAATATCTCTGGGAACAGGGACAAACTATTACAAGGAAGCAATACGGCCAGATGTAGTGGCGATGGTGATAGTAGTCATGATGGAGGAGAAAGAAAAGAAGGGAGAGGAGAAGGAGGAAGGTCACCTTTGCAGGCTACTAACAACCTCATAAAATTGAGTGAAGGTTTGTACTAAGCATAATGCAAATCCCATTGATATTAGGTGGGCAATAGCATGAATTTAGCAGAAAAAACCAAGTATGTTAACAAGCTTAGAGAAGAGGATTTGTTTATTTAGGAATATCTTGGTCCTCAAGCATTAAGAAATCTAAAGATCAAACCACCCTTTTAAATGAGGATCAGAAACAGAAATATTCGTTGGCATTTGAATAGTCTCATATTGTGTCAATGTCAGTAATTAATGTTTTATTGTTCACACACACACACACACACACACACACGCCACTTATCTTGCCATAGGTCTGCTGACTGTATTTATATTACATATACTGATATATATGTAACACAATACTTCAAATATAATGTAGTGGTTAAAATATGGTACCAGAATCCAGAAGTCTCAGCTTTAAATCCATCTTTAGCCATATAAGCTCTCAGGATGACTTTGGGAGAGGACTTCCTTTCAGACCAATCTGCCTATACCAGATTATTGTTACAGGGAAACATGGGAAAGGTCAGCATTATGTAGGCTTTCTTGGTCTCTTGGATGAAAAGAAACATATTAATTCTAACAAGGAAATTATGAATGAACCATAACCATGAAAGCATAGTCCAATCTCCAATGATCATTTTACTCATTTTAAATTGTGTATGTACTGGACTTTAAATCCTATAACCCATGTTGCCTAGGAAAGTGATCTTGAACACAAAACATTGCTTCTTTACTTATATACAATAACAGAGTTGGAAGGGACCTTGGAGGTCTTCTAGGCCAACCCCATGCTCAGGCAGGAAACCCTATACCATTTCAGACAAATCATTGTCCAATGTCTTCTTAAAAACTTCCAGGGTTGGAACATTCACAACTTCCGGAGGCAAGTTGTTCCACTGATTAATTGTTCTGCCAGGAAATTTCTCCTTAATTCTAGGTTGCTTCTCTCCTTGATTGGTTTACACCCATTGCTACTTGTCCTGCCCTCAGGTGCTTTGGAGAATAGACTCGTTCTTCTTTGTGGGAACCTCTCAGATATTGGAACATCATGTGCTATCATGTCATCCCTAGTCCTTCCTTTCATTAAACTATTTATTTATTTATTTATTTATTTTTATTTATTTATTTGATTTGCCAATTGTTTACAAGATAATAAGTATAAGTGTATACATAGTTATGAATACATGAAATGGGTACATATAAGAAAAATAAAAGAAGAATAAGAGAAACAATAGGACAGGGACGGTAGGCACGTTGGTGCGCTTATGCACGCCCCCTACAGACCTCTTAGGAAAGGGGTGAGGTCAATAGTAGACAGTCTAAGGTTAAAGTTTTTGGGGTTTGGGGAAGAAACTAAGCATAGCCAATTCCAGCAACTGTTCTTTATATGTTTTAGCCGCCAGTCCCCTAATCATCTTTGTTTAACTAACAGATCAGAAGCTGTATAAGACAATTCTGTACAACCATAGTAAGATTTTCTAAAGGAGAAGGAGATGAGGAATATATATCATACAAAAATCTTCCCAGTCATTGATTATAATGAATAAATATTAAACATGACCAGGAACAATGAAATTGATGGAAATAATTAAAGAAGCATAATGAAGACTTTTGACAATATTCACCAGGAAAGTGAGACAATGACTTGCATGATGAATCCATACTAATGGATCAATATTTTTGCAATAAATTTTCCTAGGAGGCCACAGGAGAAATTGTGACTGTAGTGGAGGGCTGAATCAGTAGGGCTGTGAACATATCTAGAAATGCATGTAAACATACATAAATTAGAAAAAAAAATTGTCGTCACGTTCAAAATAAAAGCAATGCAGTTGTATTGTGTACATTTATTTACATTTGATTTCTAATTTCTGATTGACCTTATGGAGGCCAGACAGGGACAACCAAAGGGTTAAGTGTGCCCCAGGCCTCTTATATACTTTTTAAACAATGAGATTGACAGTAGCATGAGTGTACTAATATTTCAAACCTTTTGGATATCATCTTGAATACTAAATAAATACCATAACACAGTGGTTGCCAACCAGTGGGCCATGAGAAAATTTTGGTGGTCTGCAGACAAATGTCCCCCTCAAAGCACCCCCCCAAGCAATATATTAAAGCATTTTGTTATATTAAATAGGTGCATTTCATATTAATAAAATGGAAATTCTCTTATCGTTATTTTACAAATGTATTTATCTTTTTTTTTTAATTCATATTAGTGGACCACGGAATTTAAAATTATGAGTTTGGTGGTCCCTGAGGTCCAAAAGGTTGGCGACTCCTGCAGCATAACAGGTATTTTAAAAGAAGTAGTCTAATTAGAAGACAAGATACTAACCAACATCTTTTTATTAGTGATGATCATTTACCATTTAATAAGATTGCTATTACTTATTTTTTACTCAGTTATTTATTTGATTAAAAACTATGTTGAATAAATTAAACATCTTTAATAACAATAATTTCTGACAAGTCTTGCTTTTTCAACTTTTCTTGAAAGCTACTAAAGATTAAAAGTATAAATAAAACTTCTGAGTAAAACTAAGGATACTTTTGTCAGACTGCAAATACTTTTGAGCCTATGTATGACCAGGTGAGTAAGCAATCAAACTCTCAAGTTTATTTGCCTTCGCTTCTCACTTTGGGAAAATAAATAATAAAAAAGAACTTCTTAGGGGAAAACAGCCATCGGCAAAATCATATTTCTCATTTTGAAAAGGTTCGGGACTTTGTCATGTTTATTTTTCACCCTCACAGGTTATCTGGGAAGGGAGAAAATAAGTACGAGACAGATATGACATAATGGCTAGAGTCTTCAGTTTAATCAACAAAAATCAAGTTTGAAATGTCCATGTTGCATTGTAAATGTGTTTGCTGTGGGTACACTAGAGTCACACCTATATTTACAGGTGTGAAAAGGCTACCTGTCCAAATATGAAGTGGATTCATTCCAGACAATTTGAATGAAATGCCAATGGTTATGGCTGTAGATATAGTTGTACTACCGGTACATACTATAATTTGTTTATCAATGTTTGAAACCACCTGTCTCTCACAGAGGATTCCTTACAGACAGCTGTGATACATACAGTTACATGTAGATAAATTCAATTATGGGGTTCACAAAGTGGCTTTAGGTTGGTTAGTATCACACCTTATGAGTTACCAAATGCTGTAGGGTTTATTTAACTATGATACATTCAAATGAGATACTATTGGTAAAGTTCTCCCAAGTTGCTAGACCAAGTCATATTTTATCAAATAACAGAATAACAGATTTGAAAGGGATATTGATTGCTTTCTAATTTCTAATTGGAGTTGGAGAGTATCTGAAAGTTATTTGTACACACTCTATACAGTGTAATATTTTTGACTCAATATTTTAGTAGAAGAAGAAAAAAAAAACTTTGCTCAGTGTCTCATGGATATCACCCACATATGCCATGTCTTTGAGCAAAGTCCATTACTGACATCACCTGAGTTTTGCGCTTTAACTACAGACCATTGGCTGTCTAACAGACTATAATAAAATGTGGCTAATTTGTAAAAACCTCAAAAGTGGATAAGCCTATAGGGGAATTAATTCACATCCTGTTCCATTCTTCTCTAATATTTCACTGGGAAATGAATAGTTAGGAATTTATGAACTGTAAACATGTGTCTGGGTAAAACTTGATGTTTTGATATTAGATATTAATGCTATCTTTTTTTTTTTTTTTTTTTTGGAAGCTCATTGCAACAAAATCATACAAAGTTTTCAGCAGTATGAGACTTCTGTAATACAAGGGGACCCACAATTATTGTTAATTAATAGTGTATCAAAGAAGGTACAGGAAACTGGTATTTTTTTTAAAAAAAAAATGGTAAAAGTATGTGTTCTATATACATTTATTCAAATCAACAGCTAATAACATTATGTGTGCGTCACAAAAGAACCTTTTTGTGTATAAAACAAAATCTAATATTCATTTACTTTCTGCTCAAAACACACACACGCACGCACACACATATATAGACTCTGTGTGTGTGAGTGTATGCATTAGAATTAAAATATATTTCTATTAGAATATATATGGTCTATGACTTTCTGTAGCAAGTAGAAGCAAGCCATATCATCATGGCAGGATTCACACATTATGGTAAACCATAATTTATTTTAACCGAGTTTTTAAAGACATAATGGCCAGTGTTACAAACTGCAATCTTAAAAGATAATTTACTAGTGTCATACAGTCTAGGTAAACTATATCATGATAACCAGGATGGTTACTGGAGTTACCAATGCCAAGATAAGACTTAAAAAGACAAAATGTATTAGTTCATTTGAAAAATAGTCTGTGCTGAAAAGATACTGAACTTGTTTTTAAATAATGCTAATGCTAATCAGAACTAATTCAAACTTTAAGTCTTACTGATATCAGTAGAACCATTTTTGAAGTAAATTCCTTAGGATCATACCTTTCAACTGCTATCACATTATATCTGAAGTGCAGTTCAGCCTTCCAAATCAAGTAGGTGTATGTTCTATGGGTCCTTTGTCTAATTAATGTTTTTTTTTCCTTTTTAGCTATCTCATGAATACGAATTACTGAAAGAAAAGATTACCACATGTAGCACAACTTGAAACTAGTTGGCATAAATATTTAAAAGAATGTAAAAAATGAGCACAACTGCTGCAAAATTACCATATAAAATGGCATATTGTGTCCTTTGAACTATGTGTGGTTGTTGCCAAGAGTATGTGCACAATGCGGAAGCTCTGAAAAGGTGAGAGAGTTTAATTGCTCCGGGTGCCAGCTCTGCCCATATATGGTCTTCATGGACTAATACCAAACTTGACTGGCTTCTCACCTGAATCCTTGTTCCGTGACTTAAGCTTGAGATCTTACAAAAGCATTATTTATGTTCATTTCTGGGAAAGAGCATTCTCACCCACACCCTTATCCTATCACTGAGAGATGTGTTGCAAGCCAACTACTGTATAAAATATCCTTTCAATTGATTTTACTTTGTTATATCAACTTCCAAAGAGCACAATACAATGCAGAGAGATTAAGAGACTCTCTAGCTCTCTCTGCATAGTGCATATATATAGACTGCATTGTAGCATATATACAGCATGGCATCTCAAGACCCTTCTAAGTACCTTGGATGTGCATATACAGAATTTGTGTCAATACTGGATATGGAATATAATGTGACTGGGAAAGGAGGATGGGAAAGGCTGGAAATTGAGATATGTTTTGCTGTATGTGCTGTATGTTCTTAGAACTCAAAAGCCCAGATGTTATTTGGTGTGTTTCAGCTGGTGTTTTGTGAACACAGTCAATTGAATCTACTATGGTTATTAAAACTATGGCTTGGTTTTGTTAATATATGTGAATATCTGAGTAAGATCATCCAAGATTTGGTAGAATAAAATAAGTACAGTGAAATGATGAAGGATTATGGAAAATAATCAAAGCTAGGAAACTACTACTAAACTTCAAAGGAAGTTTAAGAAATGAACAGAAAAGTACACATTTCTTTCCAAAATATCAACAAAGAGGCTAGCATATGTACAAGCTTATAAAGATAACCATCCGAAACCAGTGAAGTTATAGGGCAGGGTTTCTCAACTTCAGCAACTTTAAAAGGTGTGGACTTCAATTCCCAGAATTCCCCATCCAGGAGCCAATTTGAGGTAGTGGTTAAGGTATCAGGCTAGAAACTGGCAGGTGGTGAGTTCTAGTCCTGCCTTGGGCACAAAGCCATCTGGGTTACTTTGGACCAGGTACTTTCTCTCGGAAGGCAACTTTTGGAAAAAACCTTTCCAGGAAAACTGCAAGGACTTCTCCAAACAGTCTCCAAGATTCAAACATGATTGAATGGAAGAAGAAAAAAGGAGAGTTGAAAGCTCAATTTAATCCTGACAAGACAGAGGCTCTTCTATCTAGTCAATTAGACAACAGACCTAAGGTTAGACCTTGAAAATATTGACTCTTGAACATTGACAATTAAAGCTTAGGTCAGGGGTGGGATGCTACTGGTTCTGCCCGGCTCTATAGAACCGGTAGCTCTGAAGAGCAGCAGACACCGAACTGGTTCTGTGTTTGCTGCTGTTTAGCCCACCTACCCGCCCAGGCTCTTACCTGACCTTTATTTCCTGCTTTTTCAACCTCAGCTGCTTTGCGCAGCACAGCTGCGGTTGAAAAAGCAGGAAAAAAGAGGATTTTCAAACACTGTGCACCTGTGTGCTGCGCTTTTTAGCTGTCTGGGCGGCACAGCTTAAGGTTTTTTTATGCGTCTGGCGTGCATGCGCGCAAAGTAAGCATGCGCGTGCAAAACATAGTCACCAAACCAGTAGTAACACCGGCTGAATCCCACCCCTGGCTTAGGTGAACGTCTACATTAGCTTTAAATCTGGGTGCCTAGGTTGTTTTATTGTGGTCAGGAACACTTTAGAGTATTAAGGAAAGCATGCAAGCAAAATCATTTCTTGCCATTTCAGCTCCGCTTACATTAAAACATGCTGAAATTACATCCAGTTTGGATTACCGTAGTATACTCCACTCTCAAAAAATATTCATAGTCTTCCATTTGTTCAATATCTGGTAGTCAAACAATAGCCCGAACTTGGGTTGTATAGAACATACCTAATTCCCAGGTTAATCTGTTTATTTGGCTAATTATAAACATCTGGGAATAATCCAGACTTAAAATTAGGGGCAAGCTACCCCCTTTTACTTCAAGCAGAGTCATGCTTAGTAGCAGTTCTACATACTTCTTCACTTCAGGCAGCTCAGTCAGTTAATGCACAGCAGCAAAGGAATGGGAGGGAAGCACTTCACGACACTGTTAATCCAAGGAAAAGACTCAAGGGAAACACAGATCATAATTTTTAAGGCGACTGGTAACAGTGGAACCAATTATCAAAAGAAGTAGGAAATTCCCGCACATTGAATGTGCTCAAACAGAGATTGCGCAGCTATCTATTGTGGCTGCTTTAACCAGATCTTGCACTGAGAAAGCTATCGGAATTGAAGGGATAAATGCCCTTTTCCAGGTTTATGACTCTAAGAGTAGAAGCTGCAAAACAAAAGTTATTTTAGCAACTAGTTTAATGAATGCAAAAACTTTCAAGTCAGAGATCCTAGAGCTCTGGCCATGGCCTCAACAAATCATTAATAAAGTTCCTACTTGTGAGAGTGGTTTGGTTCTGAAGAAAGTCTTTACCCGCAATTACTTCTTTTTGAAAGGTCAACAGTAATATTTATGGGGGATACTCAAAAAATCAAGATTATGGCCACAATTGTGCAACATTTTATAGGACAACTTTTGTTCTCTTTTATTTTTTTTAAAAAGGATGTAGCTCCAATTGCATAATTGTAGGTGTCATTTAGACTATTTTATCCATGGAAGCAAGTGGACCAGGAATTTTAAATATATAATTTGTTGAAAATGCTGACTGAATTATAATGTGGTAGGCTATCATTTATGTTTTCGAATTTATATTTGAATTGAGTTTACACACCAAACTAAGCCATCAACCATGGTTTAAAAACCAGACTGTTTGAACCAGACTATGTGCTAAGTCATAAACAAATCAGGTCAAGCTTCTGGATTATATGCAGTGTTATCCTGTTTTGTTTCAGCCTAATATTGCCTGATTGGTTGCATTAGTGAAACATTAAAACCTAGCCAACATTCTTGATT